TTTATTATGCCTGTATAGGTCTTTGATTACTTTTATTGAGTTATTTTAATACTTCAACAAACTAAATGGAAATGAAATTATATATTGAATTTATAAATGTGTATGTACATATACAGTATATATGTATGTGTGTGTGGTTGTACATACACATATGTAGTTGTTTTTTGGTGTTTGGCTTAGTGTTATGTTAGAATCATTATTATACTCTTATACCTTTTGTTCTTTAATATTTTGAATTGTTTTTAGCTTTATTTTTTGTTTTTCATTTAAATGTTAAGTTTTGAAATTTTGTTGTATGCATTTGTCATTTTTATTTAATCTCTTTATTTTTAAAATGTGTATAGGTACTATTTATAAAGTTTTAGCTTTTAGTTTTGGATCTGTTTTTAGTTGTTTTAATACTACAATTGATTGCTTCTGTTGTCCTCATTTGTAAGTCGCTTTGGATAAAAGCGTCTGCTAAATGACTAAATAAATAAATATATATATATATATATTAGTGCTGTCAAAATTATGTAGTTAGGGCATATGTTTCCTCTCCTGTCAGCTGTTTTGCTTGTAACCATTGCTCTTCAACTGCCCACACAAATGCGTAGCATTATTTGTTAGAACACCGGCACGCTGTATATCATTTCATATTAAAGCGCAATAATATATAAAAAAGCTGCGTCTCATTTTGGAGTCTGCGTCCTCCGGACGTCACATTTGAATAATATCGGGGCAATATTTTACACCTCACAAGGAATAACAGTCAATTTTATTACGGTTACTTTTCTTAACCAAGACATCCTTGATGACGTATGCAGCCTAAATACGTGACCTCCGGAGGACGCACCGAAAGAGTTGTGAGAAAATACGATGCGTGTCAGATCCGAGTCACATTCAGCAGTGGCAGCTCTTAAAGTAACAGCAGTGATACTCACCTTCAGTCATAAAAATAGATGGCATTAAACAAATATTAAAAATATACTGTCTTTGATGTTTCTACATTAATTTGAAGAATGTGAAATTATTGCAATATAAGTATATTTAAAAACTTTAATGTTAGGTGGGATTAATCACGATTAATTTCAGATAAAATGAGTGATTAATTAGTTAATTTTTTTAACAGACTTTATGGGTTCACTTTATGTTTATATGTGTTTATAGACGCTCACCATGAGAAGTGTGTGATGGAGAAAACGGCGTAGATGTGCGTGACATAAAGCGACACCTGAGCGGTGATGTCAGTCCAGGTGTGGGCCGTGGGGTCACCGTGCATTAGGTGCAAATGGGACATGTCCACCATCTGTCCTAAACACACACAAACACACGCACAAACCTAAAACTAAAACATCCATCTGCAATACACACTGTTTTGTTATTTACATTATAGAAGCAGCAAATAGCATAGCACACTACATACTAATCATTCTAGTTTTGAAAACTGTGCAATTTAACACCAAATGACACCGTATCCCATGACTTGACCCTTTTTTTAGGGCCTGTTTTGCTATCCGATCGTGAAAAGACCAGGTGTAAATGCCCTCCGAAACGCTTTCCAGACTGATTTAAATCCGATCGCTCAAACCACATCAGGAGGTGGTCTGGGCCGCACTCCAGACAAAACTGGACAAGTGTAAATGCATCTGGTTGTTGAAACCACATGTGCAAATTTGACTCCTCCCAAAATGTTAAAATAATAAACGTGAGAGAGCGCATTATAGGCCATATGATGTGTTATAGTCAGATATGACAGCACTAAAGCAGCATGCATCGCCGCCGATGAGTAGCTGATGAGTATCTGAGATTCTTTCCAGTGCTGATCTCTCTCCTATTGCTCTTTCCTTTTATCTTTAAATTAGCTGATGATGAATAAAATGCAGTGCATATCTGTTGCTTTCATTGATGTGAACCTAAATTTGCATATAGCGGGGGAATTGAACATCAGATTTATATCCATTTTGCGGAGACACTTTTATGTGGCCAAATGTAAATGGAATCCCTTTGAACAAATCAAATAGATATCCAAAATATATACATGTAGATATTTTCAAAATATATGCTGTATGTGTGTGTCTTTATATATACATAATAAATACACACAGTACACACGCATATATTATGTAAACAAAAACTTTTATTTTGGATGCGATTAATTGCGATTAATCGTTTGACAGCACTAGTAAATGGAACTATTTTAACAAATCAGATAGATATCCGATCAGCGAAAATGTGTGTAATCAGGCCCTTAGACAATAAATTATGACAAACAATATCAACTGCATTTTTTTAATTGGACACCGTTTGCTAAATTAAGCATATAATGTAGTGATTTTAAATTGCTACATTACATAATTTTAATTATTTAAAAAATATACAGTTTCACATAGTATTTTTTTAAATATTTATTTTAAAAATGGCAGTAAAAAGTATATAGTGTGCAATATGCAGTACACTAGTATTTTGCCTAAATAAAAGCTAAAAATGAAGAGTATTATAAAAGTAATTTTAAAATTTAAATTATTACAATTATGATCAAATATTAATTTTTATAATTAGAGTTAAACATAATAATAATTATTACTAATATTTTGATTATTATTCAGTTTGATTGGGTTCTTAAAATCCTATAATGTGCGAATATAATGTGAACTGAAACACTATTACAATTAAAAAGAGGTCTGAGTCCACTTTAGTCCTGCTACAAAATCAAAATAAAACTCTTACCAAAAAAGATAGGATATTTTTCTATTTACGTTCACTTCATGTGACCATTAATCAACTTCAGAGAACATGCAAATGTGCTTTTAAAATATTGAAAATTAACTTAAAATCTTGGGGTAATTTAAACAAAAATTTTACATCTAAGGGGTTCAGCTGACAAAAAAGTTTGGGAATCCCTGTATTACATAAAAATAACAAAGTTCAACATCTGACAAAAAGAAGTTTCTTGGGTTTTAAATGCTAAAACAACAGTGTTGAAGATGAAGACATCATTGTACACATTCCTCATTTGTTTTAAACAGCATTAATGTCTGTGAACTTAAATCTCTCAGGCATGAACGAGACTCTAATAAGCTTACGATCTGCTCGGTTTAACAATTAAACCGTTTCCTGGAAAGAAGTGAGGAGTGAATGTGATGCAATACCAGTCACTCCAGGTGGAAGAGGAATCTGCACTCTGATTGGCTGAAGGAAGTGCATGCTGGGAGTTTGAGAGAGGCACAACAGTGGGCTGGCACTCGCATGAGGGTCTCTGGTCAGTTCCTGCACTTCAGACAGCGCCACCTGCAGGACCTAAGGTAAAAAACAGAATTAGAATAGAAATAGAACAGAATACATAAACACAAAAGGTTGAACGATTTGTGATTGTAACAGTATCGGCTAATATTTAGTGTTTCTTTTTTTATTTTTATAAAATTACTTCGATTATTAGCATCAGTCTGATCAGAAGTTCATTATTAGAAGTAGGGGTCATTCTTCCACTTCAAACCAGGGTTATTATAGTTAACTAAAACCATAAAAAATGTATTACTTGAAATAAAAAAAACGAGTGCTGTCAAACGATTAATCGCGATTAATCGCATCCAAAATAAACGTTTTTGTTTACATAATATATGTGAGTGTATTGTGTGTATTTATTATGTATACTGTATATAAATACAAACACATGCATGTATATATTTAAGAAAAATATGTAAAATATGTATATTAAATATATTTATATATAATATAAAATATAAGAATATAAATATATAAATGCATATACATGTAAATATTTTCAAAATATGTACTATCGTGATTAATCATTAGACAGCACTAAAAAAACATTAGCTGAAATAAAATAAAATATAAAAAACTTATTTTAATCTAAAAAAAATCTAAAAACTTACAAAAACTATATTAACAAAACTATAATGGTATATCAATGACACTAAAAAAAATCACTTTATAACATTATATGTTTTAAAAATATTGAACAGTTATTTATACATTCTACTGTACATTTCAACATTATTTAATTTTACTAAATAAATTAAAGCTTTAGGTAGAGTGCTGTTTTTTATTATTTTTATTGGAAAAGTTTTTTGTCCATAACATAAAAGTAATTATCATGTTGTATCACTATCAAAACATTAAAAAAGCTATCTAATTATTAAAATTAATTTATTCATTATTAAAAGCTAATCTATAGATTATATTAGTATAGATTAATGACACAAAAGGCATAGTACATTCATGTACAGACCTGCATTGTGACCGTACGTGTCTCTGTTGTGCACTCTGGAGGGAAAGTAAGTTTAATCCCCGGGTCAAATTGAGACACCAGCAGCGCCCCCTCTGGAGACACAGAGCAACTGTCCAGGAAAGGGCGCGAGACGGCCACAAACCACGAGAACTGTGACACACTGCAGCAGGCCAACTGCAAACACACAGATGATAATATATATGTGTGCATTAATGCTCTCAAGACGGCTTACAGGTTTTGGGCAGAGAGGGATCTGATTCGCTCACCCGCGCTGGGCGTCCCCCTGGCCTGCAGCTGTGTTTCTCACTTCCCCTTCTGGTCAGGGTGGGTAGTGTCGTCCAAGACCGACCATCAAACCTGCGAACAGCAGCATCACCTTTCCGTGCTTTGTGATATGGAATACACACCTCTACCGGCTAAAAGAGTGACACAGGAAAAAATATTATTATAATTATTACAAAAAAATACAGTAAATATTATTTAATTATGTATTAATCAATTAATTTTATTAATTTATAGTTATTAACTTAATTATAATTATATGAATTATAATTATAATGTTAAAAATACTATATTTTTATTTATAATTGTTCATATATTATTAAAATAATAGTGTATTTTATTATAATTATCAACTGTATTATTTATACATTATAAAAATTGAGCTTTATTTTACTTTAAGCTTTTTTCCACTCTAAACATTATTATTTTATTATTATTCATTTATGTATTGATTATAATTCTTAATATATTACATATTAATTTAGCATCATATATATATATATAAATATAAATATAAATATATGTGCAATCATCCCTTATTCTTTACTACTAGTTTTAACGCGAAATAAACATGAATGAACAAATCATGCCTCACGTAATTGCTCAATCAGTGTTTCAATCGCGGAAAGACGTCATTAAAACAGCTTGATAAACAAAAATGATAACCTTCTCAAATGTGGCTCCGTGTGGGCGGAGCTCCAGCTGTCGACTCAACAGGATGTCATGCTCCTCTAGCCACACCCACTTTCTGTCTGGTCTCCTCTCCGCCCACTGGAGTTGTGTGACTGCATTTACGCATCTCCGTGGAAACAAGAGCTCCGCCCCTCCAGGAAGGAACACGTGACAGCCAGCAGGTGATACGTGAAAACTGATGGACAGAGAAGAGTTTGGAACTAGCATTATAGAAAGTATACTGCATACTATTTTTAAAATACTATTTTTTTTAACACTGCATACTATTTTTTTTTTAAGTAGTATGTAACATTTTAAAAGTAATTAATACTTTTATTCAGCAAGGACACATTAAATTGATTAAAAGTGACAGTAAAGACGTTTATAAAGTTACAAAAGATTTTATCAAAGATAAAAAATTTGCATGGCTTCCAGAAAAATATGAAGCATATGTTTCTTGAGCAGCAAATCAGCATATTAAAATGATTTCTGAAGGATCATGTGCCACTGAAGCCTAGAGTAATGATGCTGAACATACAGCTTTGCATCACAGAAATAAATTACATTTTACAATATATTACAATAGAAAACGGTTACTTTAAATTGTAATAATATTTCACAATATTAGTGTTGTTTTTACTGTATTTCTGTACCTTGGTGACCATAAGAGACGTCTTTCAAAAACATTAAAACCGCCCCAAACTTTTGAATGATAAATGAAGGTAAGCTCAGTTCACCTGTGTTGATGAAATCCGAGGTGCAGCTCTGGGATCTCAGATTCTTCCAGAACTATAAAGCACAAACAGTGTCAATGGGATCAAACAGTCTTAGTTTGTTCAGGTTTAATCATAAACCAATGCAAAAAAATGCCATTCAGAATACATTATGTAATAAAAGCGTAATAGTCATATGCTTGTCTGCCTAGTCTGTCATAATAGTCATGCTTGTTAAAGGTCATATTTGTTTGATAAACATTTCATTATAATAATGTAACATAAGCTAGACTAAAGCAGCATCAGTGAGAGCTGACAGTGACCTGGGGTCACGTGGGCGATCAGTGGGGGCGTCGGCGGTCGACCCAGCGGGTTGTTCCTCAAGTCTAGTTTGTCGAGCAGCGGGAGGGAGCGCAAACATTCAGGAACACTCCTCAGATCATTACTCTGGATTACTAGCTGCCTCAGAGAGCGGAGAGACCCTGAGAGAGAGAACGAGCCATCAGACAGTTCAACTTCCATGTCACAAATACTAGATTTTCCTTTTAAAAGCTTAAATCTCATTTAGAAACAGTCGTTGGCATAGTATAAAACAATTTTTGACACCAAGATAGCATCATGTAAGACAGCAGACGGTCATTTGGTGTTGTTTGGGACTCATCAGGACCTATTGACACTTACACTACAAATGCTTTTTTTAGCTACAGTTTAAGGATAAAATTGTCTCCAGAAATGAACTAAATCTGCCAAAATCTCCATTTGCAGACATCTAGGAACATCCTCATTTGGAAAAACAATTCATACTGTACATCAAATAAATATTTTGTTTTATTCTAAGTACCTAAAAATCTTGAATTAATTTTTTTGTAAATTAATTATTTTTATCATGTTTGTTTATCCCTTATCTACCTTGTTTATGAATAAATATAAAAATAATTATTAAATATTATTATCAAAAATGTTTATTAATTATTTACTCTTTTTTTTTTTTTTACTCTTCTTGCCATGAAAATACCCTTATATGCTATTTAATATTAAATACTGTTAAAATGATTAACAAATATGTTTATTAATTTATTGACCTATTTTTTATTATTTACTTTTACAATTCTTGCCATGAAAATAGCCTTAGATCTTAACAAGGAATAAAACTACTGTAGGTAAACAAATGGTTAGTCTGTATTACTTATAATTTGCTTTATATAAAACAAATAAAGTCTATCATATGTCCTAACGTCCTCGGGTCCAGGTAAAACCTGTATTTTAAAACCTGAATTTTTTTTACCTTGTGGGAACATTTATTTGGTAATGAAGGAAAAGGAAAAACAGCTTATAAATCATACTAAATTATGTTTTTTTTTTTAAATGTTAAAATGCAGTTTTCTTTGAGGGGTAGGATTAAGGTTAGGAGATAGAAAATACATTTTTACCAGATAAAAAAAATATTATATCGATGGAAAGTCCCCATGAAACATGAAAACCCAACATGTGTGTGTGTGTGTTTGTGTGTGTGTGTGTGTTCCTCACCCAGAGTCTCTGGCAGTGATCTGCGCCTGTTATTTGACAGCTCTAGTTTTTGTAAGTCCTGTAGTTGGCCGAATTCATCTGGAAGTCTCTCCAGCTGGTTGAAGGACACACACAGCTCCTCCAGATATTATATCGATGGAAAGTCCCCATGAAACATGAAAACCCAACATGTGTGTGTGTGTGTTTGTGTGTGTGTGTGTGTGTTCCTCACCCAGAGTCTCTGGCAGTGATCTGAGCCTGTTACTTGACAGCTCTAGTTTTTGTAAGTCCTGTAGTTGGCCGAATTCATCTGGAAGTCTCTCCAGCTGGTTGAAGGACACGTCCAGCTCCTCCAGCCTGCAGAGGAGGCCCACACCCCGGGGCAGATCCACCAGCCTGTTCCCCAGCAGACTCACCCGCCGCAGGGACGCCAGCGCTCTCAGACCCTCCGGCAGACCTGTCAGCCGGTTATGACACAGCAGGAGATCCAAGAGATGAGAGAGAGACAGGAGACAGGGAGGAAGAGAGGAGAGACGGTTGAAGGAGAGATCAAGGTGAACGAGGAGAGACAGAGAGGAGACGGAGTCAGGGAGAGAGGAGAGCAGGCCGGGGAGAGGGTCACCCTGAGGGTCATGGAAACGGTGTCCTTGAGACAGAAACAAAATAGAGAGACAATATAAACTCATGAAAAAGGTTAGACAGACTAATATTATTATTATTATTCATTATAATATTATCAGATTAATATTATCATATTAAGATATATATATATATATATAGATAGATAGATAGATATAAATAGTCCGATGATAGATAGATAGATAGATAGATAGATAGATAGAAATAGTCAGATGATAGATAGATAGATAGATAGATAGATAGATATCTATCTCGCAATGTATGTGTGTATGTTTGTGAATGTTATTGTGTATTTGTGTACCTCTGATAGTCAGAGAGCGCAGTTGTGTGAGTCGGGGCAGGACACCCAGCGCTCTCTCTAGCGCCCCCTCGTCCTCTGATCCCAGTCTGAGGTACTGCAGGCCTCTCATCCGCTCCTGAACACACTCCCAGAACACAGGGAGAACCTCTCCTCCGCCCCGATACACGTCCAGAACCAGCCGCTCCTCTGCCAGCACGCCATCCAGCCCCACCGACGGAGGAAGAGGAGGAGAGAGACAGGGCAGAGAGGAGGAAGAGGACGACAAGATGGACGGAGCCCAGGTGTCCGTATGGTCCGAGGAAAGAGAGAGTCCTAATGGTGGACTTTCCTCCAACTGTGAGTTCCCAAAGAAACCTGGTAAAACCAGACCCACTTCCGTCCCCATCATCGCTCCTCTTTCAGCTGAAAAACCATCAATATGTCCTTCTTCATCTCTTTCTCTATCAGATGTGGCCAGCCACACTTTCTCCTCTGCCTGTTTATTCTCCTCTCTCTCCATCTATTCCTTTTTTTCTTTTCTTCAGCTCCTCCTACAAACAACATATAGTGAGAAGAATGAAGGAGAGATGAATCTGGCACCTCCGTCTTCATCTTTCCATCACCGCAGTGGGGTCACATCTCTAGACTGGGCAGCCATGTTCAGACAAGCCCCTGCACTGGAGAGACAAAACATCCTTCAGAGAGAAAGAAAGGTGTTAATTGGAAAAGCTCACAATCAATAAAAACGTAACAATGAACTGCACAGTGAGTAAAACTGAAGATCAGCACTTGAGCATCACCACTACTGAAAAATAATAAATAAATGTTTTGTCAATGCATAATTACCTTTTTAAAAATCTATTAATATTAAACACAATTTTATATATATATATAAAATATTAAATAAGAATTAAATATAACTAAATGTATAGAAATAACTATAATTAAATATATTTACATAAACATATAATATAAAAAATTCTAATATTTCTAACATCTAATATTTCCAATAAAATAATGCAAACAAATTTCTGCCATTTAATTGTTATCTACATATGCATATGTTATGTATACTGTACATAATTGTGTGCGCGCATAATTAAATGACAGCATATTATTGCATATTTAATTTCAGTGTATACATACATATATAAATAATATATTTAAATTAAATATATTTAAATGGCAGTAATATATACTAGATACAATATATACAGGTATATATATATATAAAACTGCCATTTTACTGCCTTTACTAACTTTAGTTTTTTGTCAAATTTTAATTTATCACTTCATGACTAGTGGTGGGTAATATTTAGTATCAATAACTGCATTATCTACGCTATTTTAGAGGTAACTACAGTTACCATGGTAAATCACTGTAAAGGCACCATACTCATTCATTCCGTTGTGACTGAAACCAAATCACAGCTGCATTCAAGTGTGTAACAACGTTTACGAGTGCTGGGAAAAGACTTCACTGAACCTTTATACAGAATAATAAGTTATATATCATGTTAACAAGTACCAAACTGGCTGAATGATCACTTAACTCGGCGATAAACACTTACAATACTGGAGTTTGGGCGCGTAATTCTTGATGGACGTGACGTGTCTGTAACGTTTAAGACAATATCCGGTCTCGCGCATTCTATAAAACTATCTTTTACAAAAGCAAAATGTCATGTTTATTTGATGCGTTTACATGTGTTAAATATAATAAGTTTACTTCCGTGTTTCACACACATGTTTCGTGTTGACACTCACCGCGGAACTTTGGGCAAAAGGCGGGAGGAGATTTCTTAAAGACACAGTGACAGCAAAGAAGTACACTTAAAATGCGTGTTAATGTAGCCTATAATAATATAATATAATATAATAGACTTAGTAAAGACTTATCTAATCGGTTATCTCTATCTAATGTCACTTCTCTTATCTAGTAGTCTGGTTGTGGATGAGAGAATCAAATGAAGCATCATTTTATGAGTTTCTTCCTCTGCTATTTTTGTGTTTTTATCATAGACTGTATAAAAACATGGACGTAGTGTCCGTGACGTCACCCGTAGGGTCCCGAAGATAAATGGAAAATTATTTTAATGTAATTTCAGTATCTACTAATAAGAAAGCTATAAGGACTGAT